TATAAGCAAGGTTTGGACAAAAAGCAATAGAACTCGTGTCTGCCGAACTCTTTTTCCGAACGGTTTTTTTTTCTGGTTCCGCCGCACTGGCGCGCAGCGCGCAGAACCGCTGCTCTTTTCACACCACCTCAACAAAGTGTGTTGCACCCCAGCACAACACGCCCGATTTCACCACCCCAACTTTGGAGCCCCGGTCAAACGCCTTCCCGTCTGCTGGCGGGACATGTCTGCTGCTGGGAGTGCCTCCCAGGGGCTCAAACGCAAGAATTTCAACGTTTCGGAGAGAGAAGAGGTGGTACGCTACCTTCTCGCCGACAGCGAAGACGGGGTTCGGCTGGGTATGCCAAAATTCCGCCTTTTCCCGGACCAGGGGATGGTAACGCACCATCCCCCCCCCATCGAGCGGATTTTTTTTTTTCTCTCTCCAATGTCATATGTGATCGTTTGCCAAAGTTGTCCGACGTCCACCGTGCCCAAATGGCACGTTTCCGTCAATATTCTTCAAACCTTGCTTATATTCCCGGATTTCCAAACGTTGCTTATATTCTCGGACAGAGGGAGTATAGTCTAAGCTCAGAGGTTAATTGCACCCGGCGCGATCACTTGTTGTTGGGTTTGTGAGAGAGTGTGTGTGTTGTGTTTTCGCCCTATTTTTACTATGGCGACAGTCCCCCCATTTTTCGTGGTGAGACGTGTACTAGTATACACTTTTCAGCGTATGTGGAGTACTTCACTTCTCAGTGTATTTTTTTCGTACAACTACAACCATCCAGGGTCACACAGGAGGGGGTAAACACCAGGGCGTTTTTCTCCTTTTTTTTTCTTTTCGTTCTCCACATTCCTCCTGCGGTGCGTGCTGAATTTTTATTTTTTTCGCAAGAAGGGTCCAGCCGTCCCTTTCCCTCGTCAACTGTGCTAACGTCGAAGTTTGGTACTCACGAGAGTAGAGATCTCCGGGAACAGACCCCTCGCCAGATGCTGCCAGAAATACTCAATGGTGCTTGGGAAAGTGACCAGTAGGGTTTCGAACCCGTGCGTGAATCCTTTATCGAATTACAGATGCCCAGAGCTCATTTGCACCCGGCAGGATCACTTGTTGGGTTTGTTTGTGAGAGAGTAGGGATCTCTGGGCTGACTCGCCTAGTCTCATGGTTTAACAATTGGTGATAAAGGAATCACGCACGGGTTCGAAACCCGACTGGTCACTTTCCCAAGTACCACCCAAGTATTTCTGGCAGCGTCTGGCGAGGGGTCCGTCCCCGGAGATCCTTGCTCTCTCATACAACCCAAATGATCCTGCCGGGTGCAAATGAGCACTGGGCATTGTCTAGTCTGTATTGGTTTATTTAATCGATAAAGTTACACCATTTCACCATTTCTAGTCTAATGGTGTAACTTTATCGAATAGGCACCACCTCCGCGGTGTCGTTACTAAGCATATAGATCTATGTGACACCGCGTGAAAGTTTCAGCGAACACTTCAAATAGGCACGAATTCAATTTTGATTTGTTTCCAGCGCCCTCAGCTGGCACGCAAGCCGTCGTTTGGCCGAAACCAACATGCGGTTCCCGTATAACGCCCAAGAATGTGGGCGCAGCACCACCTCGTCGGTGTCGAAGTCACGTACGACACGACACGAAGCTTTCCGCAAACACCTCCCACAGGCGCGAATTCGACTTTGCTGTGCTCCCACGCCCACCAGCTGTTGCGCAAGCCGTTATTTGGCCGAAATCAACATGGGGGTTACCGAGATACGCCCCAAGAGTGTGGCCGCAGCACCACTTCGCCCGCCGGTGTTGTAAATATCACCGCGCGAAACGTTCCGAGAACACATCATATTGGCACAAAACCAATCTTTCTGTGTTCCCCCGCCTATCAGCTGTCGCTTAAGTCGTTATTCGTCCGAATCAACATGTGGTTCCCGAGATACGTGTGGTTGACGCTGTGCATGTAGACCTAGATGTTGCCTTTCGCTCGTTGGCTAACGGCTAGCCATGTTCAAGTACATTAGATGTTCTTGCTCCTGCTCCTTCGAGGCTTGCAGCGATAATGCGTGGCACCCCACACGCATACCTGTCTGTTCGGGCGGTGCAAGTTCCCTACCAAAACGCTCGCAGTATGAAACGGGGAGAAACGTATTGCTACTTGATGGTGTACGGTCAAGTTACGAAGCATATGTTGCGTTCGGATATTGAAGACGTCACCACAGAGACGCATAGTCCACGGAATATCGCATTTCGAAGATAGTACCGGACGTCAGACGAACAATCACGTTCGAAATTGACGCAATCGACAAGCGCACCCTTGCACACGAACGCACCAAAAGAAGGATAAAGGTTGTATGATGTCACCGCACCGTGCCTTATTAATTGGCGCGAGAGGATGACGCTGACACTACCATCTCCCGCTGTAGGAACGACTTCAGGGTCAACTACGCATTCATTCGTCTTCGTTCTATTTCTCGCCCGCTGGTGCCCACCTTCGATCGAATCCTCCATCCTTGTCGATCTCCGGGATTTGTCCTTCCGCCCCCACGGGTTGGTGAGTGTCGCAGTTCACCCGATTTGCGATCTCTCCTCTACTCGCTTGACTTCAAGACGTATTCCTTCCGAGTCGAAACGTTTCGGCCTCGCTTTCTTGGGGAATCCTCCTGGCCGTCCCTGCTACTCTAATCCTTGTCTGAATAGTCGTCACTGTCGTCATCCTGCACCTTGATGCTACCATTCCCGCTTCCCCCCCTCTCCACGCTCTTCTTCGGCAGAACGACGTCGATCCCACCCTCGCTGGTGACACATCCGCTGTGCGCCACCCCGAACTGTTGCCCCTGCCCACCCTTTTCCCCTGCCGGTTCGGTGGATTGTTGGTGTACTGGCAACGACCTGGCACGTTTGCGTCGACGAGATCAGGAGGAACGTGTGCATGCCACCTCTTGACTCCATCACCACATCGTACGAGGTGGGTTCGAGATTTTCATCCTCGTTGACCTTGAAAACAGTTCCAATACCAAGATTCGGTAGCCCACGTCCCGGTGTGAAATCCAGTCCAGACTCCGACATGAATTTCTCCCTGGATCGAATCGGAGGCCGACGCAGGGAGTCGTTGCCGAATGTATGCTTCGCTGTCAGCCTCGATGAGGGTAACTAGTTGAGGGAACCGAAATGCATCTGAAACAATACTCTGCGTCTTCAGTAGCGTGACATGGTGGTTGACTGAGGAGTGAACGTGGTGCTGAAACTCTGCGACATCCCCAAGGAAATGATACCATTATTGAATACATAAAACCCCATGGAAACATGGTCGTCACCAATTCCACTCCTTCATTCTTGCCGATGAAATTCATATGCAGATTCTCGGTGTCCCGAGTTGCGGTGTGGAACCGGGTCCCGACATCTTCCAGACATGATGTTTCACTTTCGTAACCCTACCTGAGAACATCACTCCTTCCTTCTTGTCCACGACGTTCAAATCGAGAGCCGTCTGTGCCAGAAGTCCCGGTCTGAATCCGAGTCCCGACTCCGACACGAATATCATCGTTGATTGATCGAATAAGAGGCATACCATGGCAGGGCGTCATTGCGTTTCAATGTCATCTCCGAGGAGGGTCAATTGTCGAGGAAATCCATATGCACCTGAAACAAGACTCTGCTTGGTCGGTAGCACGACATGGTGGTCGAATCCGGAGTGAAGTTTTTTCAAAATCTGTGATATTTCAAGAAACGTGGTACCATGTCGTTGAAGAAATAGAGCTTCACGGAAACAAGGTCTTTACGAAGTTCACTCATTTCATTCTTGCCAATATCATTATCGGGCAAGGTTTCCGTCAGACCAAGTTGCGGTATTAACCTGCGTCCCGACTCCTTGTCAACGTCCTGGTTCACTGTCGTGACCCTTGCGCGAGAATTTCACTCCTTCCTCTTTTGCCTGACATTCATTATGAGACCTGGCTGTGCCCCAGGTCCCGGTGTCACACAGAAATCCGACCCCGACACGTATACCTCCCGGGCAAGGTTTCCATCAGACCAAGTTGCGGTATTAACCTGCGTCCCGACTCCTTGTCAACGTGCTGGTTCACTGTCTGTCGTGACCCTTGCGCGAGAATTTCACTCCTTCCTCTTTTGCCTGGCATTCATTATGAGACCTGGCTGTGCCCCAGGTCCCGGTGTCACACAGAAATCCGACCCCGACACGTATACCTCGCTTGGTTAATCGAATCAGAGGCATAACACCGCACAGCCTCATTGCACAAAATGTGTTTCACTTTCAGCTTCGAAGAGAGGGAACCGATGTCCACTAGAAGCCAAAACTCTGCCATTTCAGTGCTTCAGTAGTACGACACTCTTGAATAACGGGATGTGAAACTACTGCGAAACCAACACCATAATCCGAGGTACAATGGTACGAGGTCGGTGAAATATTCATAGAATATTATGCATACGTGCAAACGAACCTGATCGATTTCACTCCTTCCGTCCATGAAATTCGCAGCAGATTTGCGGCATTCAGAGAGATACTCAACACGAACTGTGACAGGCGAGGAAAATGACTCTGTCAACCCACCTTGCGCTCGAGCTCAGTCGCCTTTCTCCCCACCTTATGTACGGTCCGGAGCAGCTTCCGATCCGCACGCTCTTGCCGACGATGCTCCTCTGTAGCGTTTCCGTCGCTGATCCCCTCCGGTGTACTCGGCGAAGGATGTTTGGCTTCCACCCTCCACCATCTACGCTTTGCTCGTGGAAACTGAAGGTTGCGCGCTTTCTCCAACCCCGTGGGCAAGTGAGGCTAACCCCCCGCGGCTCCTTCGCCAACCTCCTACAGATATAGTCTACCCCGCCGTCTGTATTTCACCCTCCTCCGCCCTCGTCCCAACCCCACCGTCTCCCTTTCTTTCTCCCATTTCTTCTCCATTCTCCCTTTACTTCTCCCATCTACCTGCGCCCTCAATCTCGGCCATCGTAGGGCCGTCATAAGGCCGGCTTGAGAAAAGCAACATGTTGGTCTACATGAACAGCGGCAACCACTTGTTGGTTTCGGTCGAATTTCGGCTTGCGTGATGGCTGGCGGGGCGTGGGAACAGAGTAAAGTTGGTTGCGTGCCCATTGGATGTGTTCTCGGGACGCTTCGCGCGGTGTCGTAAATATGGCGTACTGATTGCGGTTGATTTAGGCCAAATGGCGGCTTGGGTGACATCGGGTGGCCTTGTTAGGAAGGCTTACTTACCCATTAGACTAGACTACTCAGTCAGCGCTGACTGAGCAGTCTTATGGGCAAGCTTTCCGAACAAAAGAGATACTCTCGGCTCGTAGACACCCGGCTGGTCACTCCTTCCTAACAGGCCTGGGAACACAGCGCAATTTGTTTCGTGCCTATTGGAGGTTCTTTCGGAACGCTTCAGGTGGCGTCGTACTTAAGAAACCGGCGAGGTGGTGCTGCGGCCATATTCTTGGGGCGTACCTCGGGAACCCCGCGTTGGTTTCGGCGAAAAGTACGACTTACTCGACCGCTGGTGGGCGTTTGGAGCACAGAAAGATTGGTTTTGTGCACATCGCATGTATCCTCACAATGCTTCGCGCGGTATCGTAAAATAGACGGTTTGGGAAAAAACGCACGAAAAAAACGTGTTTCGCCAAAAAAACATGTTTCGAGGTTCCGCCGCGCCTTTTCGTTCGAATTCTGCAGTCCAGCTCGTCTGTTTTTTTTTCCATTTGGTACGTTTTTTTTTCCGCGTTTGAAAAAAAGAAACTTCATGCGCGCACACGCACACATCCACCTTACCGCACGACACGTACTCCGAGAGCACAGCCATCAATCCTTGAGGCAACTGGTGTGGAACCGGCACGCGTTGGGGACATTTCCGGTGAACGTTTGTGTTAAAAAGAACGTGCTGGGGGCGTGCGTGGTGGGCATGGTTGGGACAGCTTTTCACCCGCACCAGTGACCGCGGTAGCCGCTTCTCCTACGGCGAACTTCGTGTTTATCTCCGCCCCTTGAGGGAGGTAGCGAGTCATCAGTCACACCAGCGGTCAAGTGCTTGGAAGTCAGGGTTAGCACAGTTCACCCGGCGGCGTGGTTCGAGTTGGGAGCGTGGTTTGAGTTGGGAACGCATTGATTGGAGTTGCCGCATTGCCACTACCGCCAGGACGAGGAAAAGCTCCTCCTCTCCAGCCACCGCACACAGCAGAGTCGCCGTAATCATCTGCATGATTTGGCCGTGCCTCTCATGCCGAATCTTACCACGCTGTAGGCGCGCTGACTGTTTAGCTCAGTGGATATGTTGTACACCTAACAAAAGTACAACCAGGGTCCGATCAGCGGTTAGGCTGTCTAACTCTAGTTTTTCCCCCAGGGTTGTAATCCCTGTAATCAGCGCTGCCCCAAGCGGTTCATCGGCTTACAGGCGGGGATGTGTGTCTTCATCCTTGACGACTGGTGGTGATATGTACCATGACTTTCAGGTGTGTATCCCAGACTTTGTTCTCTTTCCGGAAAAAAAGGCGTCAAGATGGCTCCCTGAGAGATCCGAACCCTGGTTGTACCTTCGATGAGTTTGCATCTTATGCACTGAGCTGAACAGTCAGCGCTGATCGTTTAACGTCTTGGATGTGATGTATATTTAACATCAGGACGTCAACGCGCGTGCCAACATCACGCCAAATCACGCCGCCGCGTGTTCCGTGTCTGCGGAAATATAAAAAAAAGAGGGGGTACTGATGTCCGAAAAAATATCAAGAGCACCGGGAGGGTTCCAACCGGCACTAGCGGGGAGACAGCGAAACACGATTTTTCAACCGTCACTTTCTGGAACACATTTTTCCAAACACGTATTTTTTGTGCGTTTTTTAGGTGGAATCCCTAGAATGTGTCATGTTTTCGACACTGACGAGGTGGTGCTGCGCCCATATTCATTCTTGGGCGTATCTCGGGAACCACTTTTGGTTTCGGCCAAATGACGGCTTGAGTGAAAGCTTATAAGTACGCTTATTTTCGACACCTCGGAGATGGTGCCATGACATCACTCGGGGCCATATCTCGGCAACCACCGGTCACTATAGGACGATATAGGGCTTGTGCGTCAGCATTAAGAATACAGATAGTGTGGTTCCGAGGCATTTTGTGTGGTACCGTATATCGATTAATATATACGACACTGGTGGTGTCGTAATAGCATAACCGTTTACTTCCTGGGCGGAACAAGTAGAGTGTCCCTTCGGCTGGCCATCGAGAACAATGAAGTGTCCATGAGCAAGCAGCGCACTAGAGCAGCCCATGGGCACTCCATGGGACTCGAAATGCCTATGGGCATTCTTTCCAACGGGCTACCCGTGGGAAACGAGGCTATGGGGCAGTTTCTGTATTTGCCCATCGTGAGGAAAACATTCACTGCAACTTTGCCCACTACGATTTATTTATTTATTTTTGCCTTCCGACAATTGCAGATGTACCTCAGAAAACTTTCACTTAATGTCTCATACTCTACATGAATATTAAACCAATACGAAGTACAACAAGATATGTAGGACTTATTTCTACTGTCATTTACATCGTAAAAGTATCTCCTCTTCAACTTGAAATAAAACCAATGACAATCCTGATGGTATCCTATATGCGTTCGTAAGCTTGCTAAAATGCTACTGCGTTGATGTCCGCTTGTAAAAGCTGAAATCCAACAAATGCTTTGATCCATGCTACATCTCCGTGTTGGAAAAGCCCTTTCATCTCCGTTCATGATAACATCTTACCCTATTCTACGCAAATCTATCACATCTACTCTCAAACAAGACGTCAACTTCAAACGAAAACGCGTTCTACGATGCGTCTACACTCCCATCCCCATAACATTGGCGTTGACTGGTCCGAGGTCGATCTTGTTCGCCTGTTTTCGGCGTCTTGTTGCCCACTACGATTGACGCCCCACGCACGGGCATGCTTATTGATAGGCATTCCCAAAACTCCCATCATGATGAGCTTCCCGCAATGTGCCCACAGTAGTGGATTCAGCGCCCATCGAATGCCTAGCATAGGGTGCTCGCCAAGGAACGGCCTAAATGACCGTTTCCCTAATCTAACCGCTCGGGACGTCTAACGACGGTTTGTGAATTCTGCACCTATATATAGTGTCTTCAGCACGCTTCACAGTACGCCTCCGGCAAACACAAATACACCCGCCTTTTGGCTCTCGGCTTCTGACTTGCTTATCAATTGGAGGTGCAAGCGCCACTGGCGATTTCTGCGTATTGGTCTGCGTGGATTTCTACACGCATGCACTGTCATGAAACAATGGTGGGCAAATTCATTCTGCCCATACATACGTCATCGGCGGAGTACGCTCGCCTTGGGCACCACGTTGGTTGAGCAAGCTCACCATGGGCAGCCCCTGGGCCCCCCCACCAAAAGACCATGGGTATCCGTGATTGACAGCGCATGAAATGCTCTTCCTTTGTGTGGGCGTAGATTGCCCATGTATATTTGGAATCAAAATACTTTCACTAGGTTACTCGGACGCCCTCATGACATAATTGCGCAGTCAAGACTCCCCCGTCTGTGCGATCGGCCCGGGCTGTGTCCTTCACAGCTATTTACCTTCTCTTCACACAAATGACTCACAATTCACTGTGGTCGGCGCTGTTTGGTTTTCTTCATCGATGCCCGGCCATGTTATCTACATAGATACATAGGTCCACATCGGAACACGTTGACTACTTCGGATGCAGTTGGACCTCACTCCTACTCTCTTCCTTCTACAGTAGTTGGGAACGCCGCTACTGTAGTAGATGTATCTGTGATTGAGGACTGCTTTTGGTCCGATTCTTCGCCGTTGCGTGTGATTTTCAGGATAGGCGGAAAATGTTATTTTAGGATGCGGAGGAAGTGCTGTGGAAGATTCTGGCAGAGAATATCCTCAACAGGTTCCTGGCGTCCGCCGAATACGCAAGGATCGTCAACGGTGATGATGATGGCGTCGTTCGCGGTGAATACGTCAAGCGAATGTCATTATCGCTACATCGTCGCTCACACATGTTCACTGGCGGCGATTGTTTGCATCCATTGGAACCTCGAACCGTGTTGTGTTTTCGTCCGAATTATTGCGGCAACGGTTCCCCCCGGTGCTTGTGGTGAGACGTATACTACACTTATCAGTGTTGTAGAGTACTAATCTATACTTTTCAGTGTTGTTTCGCACAACTACAACCATCCAGGGTCACACAGGAGGGGGTAAACACCAGGGCTTTTTTCCTAATTTTTATGTTCGGAGATTCGACCTCGCGACCTTTGCTACTAGCGGTTCCGGGGTGACCACTAGACCGCCGGGGAGACTTTGAACAGTAGGGACGTAGAATATTACTCTTTGGGAAACCTTTTCCATCTCAACCTTCGTTTGAGGCTTTGCGGTGAGCTTGTTGAGATTGGTGTTGAGGGAGGGCTTGAACACTTCTCACCAGAGGGGCGCCAAGGAGGCGGCTGCAGCGGCATACGGTTTCGATTGGGGCAGAAGAGGCGAGTCGCAAGCTGGTGGTTGTGGTCTGAAACTTGCGGGTTTCGACGAGGATGAAGTGCGTGAGGACGTCCTCTATTCGCGAGTTAAATAGTGTACAAAGGTATCTGACTGCTGTCGTGGGCCACTCAAAACATGGCCAGATCTCTCGCCACGTCGTTGGTCACTCAAACACGGCTGTGGGTATTGCGAACGCAAGACGAGCAGTAGCGCGCGCAGCACCGCTGTGCTTCTTCCAAGATAGTACACTGAAAGGAACTGTAGAAGAGGAGTTTGGGGTACTTACCCAAGTATCCACTCAAGCAGCGGGGGTAGCGCGAGCTCCGAACAACGATCGGGTACTCCGCCAACATCGAACCATCAACCAGGTAGCGTCGCAACAGCACCCGCCGAAAGCCGTGTCCGCGCAATTCTTGGATTGCTGAAGAGCCCTCGGCATCTCTTGACGAGCGATGGAGCACAAGAAAATGAGACGGATATCACGCATCTTATATCACGCATCTTACTGCACAAAAAAAAAAATACAGACCCCGATCACAGCACACCGCCACCAACACCGGGCACAAAGGCTAAGCCATTAATACTGCCATAAATTCACTTGAAACTGAAACACAGGACGGCCAAACAAATGTGAAAAGGAGCATATCGAATGGAGAACGACGCCACCGTCGCCTGGGACACGGATAGCTCAGCTAGAGGTAAAAACTCCTCACGCGAGCCCCGGTCCTCCACCACCTCCCTTTCCCAAACAACTTCAACTCCGCACCTGGTGCCGGCCACTCTACCACGCAAGCTCAGGGGGGGGCATAGTGTCGAACAGCCCACCACCACGCCGATGAACCATGCAACAACGGACAGAGCTCTACAGCGAATGTTCTTCCATCTATCGCATCCCCCTATTGCCCCCATTGGCGCTCGTGATGACGGCTCCCACCCTCCTGCCGCGTACAAGGGAAGGAACAAACAATCGAGTAAGACGCCCCCACCTCTAGCACACGCGTCACCACCTTCTGCCAATGGGAAACTCGCACGTCGTGACAACACCCGTCGTTGTACAGTACAGGCCCTCGGGGCATTCTCGAAGTGAATATGTTATGCTTTTCAGCTGCCCTGTCGCTAGCCCGAAAGCGCAACCACACCCGACCGTGTGACCTTTGACACAAGCCGTCCGAAAAACACCATCAGCAACTCTCGAAAGCAAAATCGTATTGATGGCATCCCTTCACAAGCCCGAGCTCGTCGCACAAGATGTTGATGACATGGTCGGACGCGGGCGTTAGTGATTCATGAAACCCACGCCGCGTACATGTACCGACTGGGACCTGCCTCCTGAAGCCAGCTTTCCAGCACAAGGTCGTGATACCAACGAAGAAAGATAAATGGCTCTCGCCGCGCCCCCTCCCTGCTGCTGTCGCTGCTGCTAGCCTGGCCCCCAACGAGCGAAACGCTCTCTGAGCGCATTCCCCCCTGCGGTTCTAATGCTCGCGGGCCTGTCACGCAAGAGCCGCTCGCGTGTTCCGCTGTCCTCTCCGCAGGAACAGGGCTTCGATCTGCTCCAAGGACAGCCCCTTCGTCTCTGGCACCTGCGATCAGCCGGGGGGGGGCGGGGGGGCGGGGGAAGGAGCTTCGTTCACTTTGACCGCATCATGTAGTGGTACGTAGTTTTTTCATGCAAGAGTGTTTTTTCTTTTCTAATACCCGCGACACAAGCGTACCAAGCGGTGTCTCTTTGAGCCATCGCAAACCGAATCATGGGCGGAGTTGCTACCCCGAGCAACGGTAACCATAACGGTGACTCCGTGATCCTCCGCAACACTGCAAACCGACAGGACGCCGCCTTGGCATTTCCATTGAGAGCACCACGAACGGCGGCACCATCGCTCCCTGGATGCACGCCTACACTTTCGGTAGAGCATCCACACAAAGCCGGGACTCCGATGAAAAAGGGTGTTGCGACGAAGGCCCTCGACCCTCTTTTATCGGATCCCCCTCCTTTACCGGAATAAGGGGGTACCCAACTATACCACAGCGGCACTAGCCCATGGCAATCGAATCCGACTCTCGTTTATCAGAGCCCCCCAGAGGGTACCCTCCAATGTCGGAGACACGACCGTAGATGTTAACGAGTACGGAGTACAGCATATCTCACCCGGGTCTTGATGAAGTACAGCGAGTAGACGTCAGCGACGGCGAAGATCGCGAACGTCCACGAGGATCCGAGGCCTTCCAGCATCGTCGGGAAGATGAAGGTCACGAGCAGGTTGAACCCGAAGTTGGCCACCACCGCCACCGAGATGGCCTTGCCCCTGTCGAATGAGTCATAGAACGAATGGATGCCAACCCGAACAAGGGAACAAGAAGAGGAATATCGTCGGTCGGACGCTAAACTGGAGGAGGAATCTCGTTTGTCGGACGCAGAACAAGGAGAGGGATTCCATTGGTTGGACGCAAAAAAAAAAAGAGGAGGAATCTCATCGGTTGGACGCAAAAAAGAAGGAGTAATCTCATCAGTTGGGCGCAAAAAAAAAAAGAGGGGGAATCCCGGCGGTTGGACGCAAAAAAAAAAAGAGGAGGAATCCCGGCGGTTGGACGCAAAAAAAAAAGAGAAGGAATCCCGGCGGTGGGACGCAAAAAAAAAAAGAGGAGGAATCTCATCGGTTGGACGCTAAAACAAAGAAGAGGACGTCCGTTGCTTTTGTTTCTTAGTCCTATAACTATACCCTCCGTGTTCCAGTCTTGTTACTACACTAGTGGCAACAACAACGGTATTTTTTGTCATGTGCCATCTCAGTCGTTCTTCTGGACGCCGGTCGAGAGTCGAGACAAGTCTCCAGTCCCACCGGCCGGAGTCACACACGAGCACCAAAACAACAATAATAGTACAGGAAACAGTAAGTATGCACACTTGAACATATACATTATAGTAGAGTCATGGTAGGTTTTCACCTGACATCCAAGGGGAAAATCTCCGAGATGATGAGCCAAACCACCGGCCCGAACCCAACCTGCAAATACAAAGGACACAGCAAGAAGTGAACATCACATCCGAGCTTAAGGGAAAAGAAGAGAAGAGGGCGGGGAGCTCTCAAACAGGCGGAGCTTTGGTGGAAAACAAGGGACGACGACATGGAAACCAAGACGCGCACGCGGGGACAAAATGACAGAATCAAACAGCCAGTCGCAACTGCTGCGCCACCCACAAAAACCAACACCAATACCAGCGCCACCTGCGCCATGGCAACAACGACTACACCACCACCGAACACCAGCACTGTTTCTAATTGTTCATTTCGCGAGTACGAACCCAGCAAATATGATCCACGAGAACCCCTTCCATCCACAAAAAATCAAATGGCAACACCACACCCAAAAGGTTGAGCGCCGTCCGTGAGCGAGAGGAATACAAAAGGCCTGGTCCGGTGAGAGCCCGGCGTGCTCCGTCCCGGCTTTTTAGGGATGCGAGGTCAACGGTCTGACGACTGCGGCATGCACGACAACGAGTACACCCCCCACCTGGTAACCCCCAATATACACGAACATCGCCGCAAGGATGCACGCCTTCTGGGTGTCGAGACCCGCTACTCCGCAGCAGGTGCAGCCGCTGCTCGAGGAAGTGGAGGAGGTGGAGGTGCTGGTGCTGTCGCACGTGCAGCTCGTATCCCTTGGCAAAACGAAAAAAAAAAAGACGTGAACGCAGGGGAGGGGAGGGGAGGGGGACATTGTTCCGGCCGTCACCCAGTACCACCTTGTAATATTCGTACAGGTCCATCTGACTGGGGCGCCTTCCGTCGCCACAGGCCAACCACCCAGCGGAGGGTACACGGAGGTCGTACTAACGTCTTGTACCTTTTCGCAAGTCTCTTGGATCATCGACCGCGCACAACTTCAGCGCCAACAAACACCGTTCCTTCGAGTCAAGGGCCCCCGCGATCGTGGGCTGCTGCTGCTGTAGGTATGCACGCCCCCAATTTCAACAATGATGGAAAAATCTCTGGTTGTTAACAAATACGACGGGGGGGGGGTCCGCAACAGGCAGGGCTTGTTATTACCCACGTTCCTCCACGGCTGCGCAGCTCGGCCTGAGTTTCTATACCGTAGACCCCGAACCCAAACGTCTCCCTTTCTCCGTCTTTTCTTCCTGTCTACCTGATTGCCGATCGGTCCATCTTGTCCAACCCAGTCTGAAATGTCTGTCTATCAAAGCCTGTCTCGCTCGTCAAATCTGTCCGTCTGTTTCTCTTGTCTATATCGTCAATCTGCCTTGTCCCATTAAAGTCTACCTGCCAATCTGCCTGTCATATCAGAATCCGCCAAGTCCTCAGGGCTCACGGTAGGCGGCGGACTCTTGGTGCCATACATACAACACATTCTATTCGTTCGTGGCAAGTTTCAGAGCCAAAAAAATCATGCTTCGTATTCTCATGAAATGATCTCCTTCCGCTTGCCGTACCGCGCACGTGGCCAGGAATGTCTTTAGTCAACCTGTCGATCTGCCTTTCGGCTGTCGTTTCGTCTCACCATTCACATTTGTCCGAGTACGCGGAGCACGTGCTGTCGGTGGTGTAGTCGTTGCAGTCTTCGTCGCTCACGTAGTCGAACATGAAGGCAATGGTCAGGGCGATCAGGGCGAACAGCATCAGCATGCACCCGATGTTGAGCAGCTTCACCCTGCGAAAGCACAAGTGCCGTAGCGGGAGCGACGACAGCCAGCAGACGATGACAAGACCGGTTGCTCGGACGAAAAGTAACAACATCCAAAACCACAAGTCTAGGGTTCGAAGCCTTTGACTGGGAAGGCAGTAATGCCACCGAAACCAAGAAACGATGTGACGGCCATGACGAGCAAGTGAACAGACGACGAACGACCCTTATGAGCAGGGTCAGCCAGCATTCCCGTACAGCTCTTGGCTCAATTCAGTCCGTTTGTCCCATACTGTTAGCAACAAAATCAGACCAACCTCAAGGGCAACAACGTCCGTCCGTCCCCCAAGTCGAGACTCTCTCCCTCCCTCTCACCTCCCGTGCTTGTCCACCGTAAAGACGGCACAGAGCGTGGCGACGAGCTTGAAGGCAGCGACAAGGACCGAAGCGCTGCTGTCCAGGCCCACGTCCTCGAAGATCGTGTCAGCGTAGTAGAGGACGCTGGGCTGACCGGTCACCTGAGGTCACAGGATATTTTTTTTTGGCAGGTAGTGTGACCTCTTGGAGAAAAAGGTTTGACGTTGCTACACCTTGCTGTTTGCAAGAACGCAAAAACAACCGGTCACCTTGGGTCATGGGACACGTATGTATGAGTATATATATATATATTTGCAGGGAGTACAACATTTTTAAGAAAAAGATTCAAAGTTGTTACAGTAATTTTTTTTTCTGTTTACAAGTCACTGAAACGCGTACGTGTGGCACAGCAAGCTACTCTTGGTGCCGGGCGATTCCTCTCGTCTTCCTCTCGTCTTGGGGAAGCAGTAAACCATTCGACATCGCGGGCGCTCGATAGAGAACGGAAGCACACTGCCTCCGCCCACGTGTTCTGTTTATCAACGTACCGGCATCAACGCAGTGCCGCCATCAGTAACGCCCTACTCAGACAACAAATACGTTGTGCATCACGTGGGCAGCACGCAGCTCGGCAATGCACAACGACCGATGCATTGTTCGATTCGACAATTTCTTCCAGCATTATCCCATCGAGCAGTGGGAATTGCACTCAGAATAGTATGTTCTATTGTTTTTTGCATGTGCAGTACTATACCTTGGGTTACGGAAAGTGACGAAAGAAGTTCATCTCTTCTGTGCCTGGCAAGGCCAGATCGACATAAATTCCAAAATACAGCCATCAACAACCCCGTCCAACAGCAAGCGAGTCAAGACGCTGGAATAGGCCTAGACAAAAACCTCTGGCAGTTGGGTAGACACGCATCCAATGAACACAACTCCACCCGCTGCTTGGTCTGCAAGGAATAGGCTCGTCGAGCTCTGCTCTGCGCCGCCATTCTCTAGGAGTGGGGAGGGTCAGATTGCTAAAATCTTGTACACAGACTTCACTGCTGCGATGCATTCCTCAAACAAGAAGCAGCCCTTTCCCCCGCCCTCCCGTCTTTTGCGTGTCTACGNTGTTGCTGCTTCTCCCCGCCCCCCCCCCTAAACCCGCGGCTCTCGGACTTGCCTGTTGCAGAGTAACCAGCGAGAGCCCGACTATTAAGGCCTGTTTGCATGTGGGCGACCAGAGGGCCTCGAAACCGACATTGCCCTCCCCTTCCCTCTGAGACTTCTCCGCGGACGCCTGAGCAGCAAAAACACAAAGAAAAGTAAACAAAGAAAGCAAAAACAGAAAGTGAAGACGTATACTGCTAAATTCATCCTGGGTTTAATCTTCTCAGGATGGACATGGGGTTGTTGTGATTTCGAAAAAAAAACGGAAGAACAAAAGGGGGGGGGGGGGGGGGGG